TCCGAGAACCACGGCGGAAACCCAGCGCTCAAAGCTACCTGCCTTGCTAGCTCCTTCCTCCAAGCGCAGGCTCACCTCTCACATGGGGAGCACCCCCATCGCCAGCCAGGCCGGGGAGCCTCCACTCTCCCCTCCTTCCCATCCCCCTGAAGGCACTTTTCTCCCAAGGTGCCCATCAGAGGCTGCCAAGCCCCACATGCTTTGTGCCCCTTGCCTGAACGCGACGTTGCACGGCCTCCTTTTCCAAAGACCATTTTCCCACGATCGCAGCCCAATAGCGGGATCCCGAGACCAACCCTGAGGGCTGATCACGTTTTGCTGAGGCAGGGTGGGTGGGGGCAGGACCTCGTTCACACTCGGAGCCAACCTCCCTTCTGGCAAGAGCTGTGGGGCTGCTTGGGAAACAGAAAGAGAAATTCAAAACAGACTCAAACTCGAACAGAGATTTCCAGTAGTGACAGAACCACCGTGCAGACGTCCTACAGCTGCGAAGCAGGCGCCGGGCTCTGCGAGTCTCTTGAAACAGCACCCTAAAGGTGAACAGCAGTCGCGAAACGGCACCGCAGCAGCGGAGGCAACCGAACCGCACGCTCTGCGGCCACCGCCGAGGCTGCACCGAAGCATCTCAGTTAGGCAGCCTGGATCCAAGCATTTCAAAACTCCCTGCTAGCAACTGAAAGCAAATCTGAGCCTGTGACGGAAGAGCATATCCTTTTTAATCAACTTTAAAAAATAAAAATAAAAAAACCATCCCATACCAAATACCCATGGCTCAAGAAAATTAAATGTCAAAATAGTAGGAAGCCACGCACAGCAACACTAATGCCCAAGACAAGAGACGGGATGTTTTATGATCAAATTTATTAATTAAATTTCATTGACTGTTTTACTGTAGTTCACACCAGAGACTGCCAAAGTAAACTAAACATTTTACATTCACTACAAAGTTCCCTCGATTTTTTCACAACTAATCCAAAAACATGAAAGTCGTAGGGGTCCCTTTCCCTCCTCGTTGGTATTCTGGCTCCCATCGGTGACTGCGGGACTTACTTTCCTGCATTGAAAGGAGAATTGAGCCCTTGATTTCAGCAGCCCTCTTCGTAGCAAATACCTGGCAAACCATGTTTCTGTATTTACAAAACCAATCGTCTGACGGCATCGAGAACAGACCTCTGCGTTCGCCAGAGGCCCGGCATGGACGAGCCAACGAGTGACCTCGCAGCAGGGGGGCAGCGGGGCGGTATCATGTCGGAGAGATATACAAAACACCCAGGTCCGTGTCTTCGCAGTCAGCCGCGTTAGCACCCGACAGTGCAGACAGGTGTACAACAGGCTTGATCCTGCTCCCCTGAAGCCAACCGTCTTGCCATTGACTAATGGGAGCAAGATCACTCCCTCTGTCAGCAAAAATCAAATCTGCAATGATTCGGAGCGCCTGCATGTGTGTGGGATCAAAAGCGAAAGAGATGCTTAAGCAAGCCTTGCCCTACAGAGGCTTCTAGGGCTGGTAGGAGGAAGCCAGAACATTAATAAAATCTTACCCAGCTAGTGTTCCTAAAATAATTTGTTCCTGATCTAACAAGCATTTGATAATATATATCTATGATATGCTCCATTTGAATGTTTTCTTAAAAACGCCTGAAGACAACTTCCCTATTTGAGAGCTATCTACAAAAGGTCTTTGTTATACCATCTTTCCTTTTATGTGTCTACTTCTAACAAATATCAGAGAAACACATGTCAGATGCTACAATTTAAACTTTCATCATATCTGAAAGTGAACATCTTTTAAAGTGTATTTTCAACATGAAAAGAGCTAAGTCACAATTATATTCCGTTGTGTAATTTGTGAGAAATCAAGATCATTTGCATAGTTTCCAAACTGAAACTTTGGAAAATAGCGATTTCAGGAACAGGAAGTGTTACTCTAGGGAAGTGCTATCCCTCCAATTTCACGACACGGCCCAAGAAATGTTGCACAGACTCAGTACCAGGATCGGCAGTTAGTCTGAACGGCTCCCAGAAAAAAGAAATTACTTCAAAGTGTGGTTATAAAAATCACAAGCTATTTTCTCCCTTACATTTGCCAATTTTAATGAAGACAAAACCCCATCTGAACTTCAGCATACAAAACTCCAATACAAGGGTGGTTTTTTAGCAAGGTGGGTAAGAGCCGGGCCGAAATTCTGGACTCTTCGTTCAATAGCAAAAATCTTCCAATTCTCTTAATAGAAAAAATTCCGATTTGACAGGAA